GTGTTAATATTGAGTTAATAGGGATGCAAATCCTTTGGTAGGTAAAACAGTTCTCTTATATGTATAACATCTATTTATTGAGCTCTTTGCCTGGATACGTGGTGTTTTCAAAAATACCATATTTCTCCAAAAATTTTTTTGCTAGTGAGCCCAACTCACAAATTACTTTTTAATAACTTCTCCAAAATTGTCACTGCTCTTCCTTATTTACCATCTTCCTATGTACATTATCCTAGAAAAATAATGTACTCTGTCCTTGGCTATGTTCTCCTGCCATGAATTAGACCAAAAATGTCTCTATAAAAAGATGAGGATCTGAAAGTAGCCATTTTTGGAAAAACAACATTACATATTGCATCAACACAATATACAGTCAGGTCCTTAATTATTGGGACATCGACACCATTCTAACATTTTTGGCTCTATACACCACCACAATGGATTTGAAATGAAACAGACAAGATGTGCTTTAACTGCAGACTGTCGGCTTTAATTTGAGGGTATTTACATCCAAATCAGGTGAACGGGTTGTAGGAATTACAACAGTTTGTATATGTGCCTCCCACTTGTTAAGGGACCAAAAGTAATGGGACAATTGGCTTCTCAGCTGTTCCATGGCCAGGTGTGTGTTATTCCCTCATTATCCCAATTACAATGAGCAGATAAAAGGTCCAGAGTTCATTTCAAGTGTGCTATTTGCATTTGGAATCTGTTGCCGTCAAATCTCAAGATGAGATCCAAAGAGCTGTCACTATCAGTGAAGCAAGCCATCATTAGGCTGAAAAAAACAAAACAAAAACCCATCAGAGAGATAGCAAAAACATTAGGCGTAGCCAAAACAACTGTTTGGAACATTCTTAAAAAGAAGGAAAGCACTGGTGAGCTCAGCAACACCAAAAGACCCGGAAGACCACGGAAAACAACTGTGGTGGATGACCGAAGAATTCTTTCCCTGGTGAAGAAAACACCCTTCACAACAGTTGGCCAGATCAAGAACACTCTCCAGGAGGTAGGTGTATGTGTGTCAAAGTCAACAATCAAGAGAAGACTTCACCAGAGTGAATACAGAGGGTTCACCACAAAAAAAAAACAGGAAGGCCAGATTAGAGTTTGCCAAACGACATCTAAAAAAACCTTCACAGTTCTGGAACATCCTCCTATGGACAGATGAGACCAAGATCAACTTGCACCAGAGTGATGGGAAGAGAAGAGTATGGAGAAGGAAAGAAACTGCTCATGATCCTAAGCATACCACCTCATCAGTGAAGCATGGTGGTGGTAGTGTCATGGCGTGGGCATGTATGGCTGCCAATGGAACTGGTTCTCTTGTATTTATTGATGATGTGACTGCTGACAAAAGCAGCAGGGTGAATTCTGAAGTGTTTCGGGCAATTTTATCTGCTCATATTCAGCCAAATGCTTCAGAACTCATTGGACGCCGCTTCACAGTGCAGATGGACAATGACCCAAAGCATACTGCAAAAGCAACCAAAGAGTTTTTTAAGGGAAAGAAGTGGAATGTTATGCAATGGCCAAGTCAATCACCTGACCTGAATCCGATTGAGCATGCTTTTCACTTGCTGAAGACAAAACTGAAGGGAAAAATGCCCCAAGAACAAGCAGGAACTGAAGACAGTTGCAGTAGAGGCCTGGCAGAGCATCACCAGGGATGAAACCCAGCGTCTGGTGATGTCTATGCGTTCCAGACTTCAGGCTGTAATTGGCTGCAAAGGATTTGCAACCAAGTATTAGAAAGTGAAAGTTTGATTTATGATTAATATTCTGTCCCATTACTTTTGGTCCCTTAACAAGTGGGAGGCACATATGCAAACTGTTGCAATTCCTACACCGTTCACCTGATTTGGATGTAAATGCCCTCAAATTAAAGCTGACAGTCTGCAGTTAAAGCACATCTTGTTTGTTTCATTTCAAATCCATTGTGGTGGTGTATAAAGCCAAAAATTTTAGAATTGTGTCGATGTCCCAATATTTATGGATCTGACTGTATAAAGGGATAAGTTCCTTTTAAGCAAGTCATTTAATATGCTGATCTGCAAGTAACACTTATATAATTGTAAAGCCTGAAGTCTCATATCAGTTTGCTCTAAGGTACTTTTGGCCTGTGTTAATTGCCAGGGAAAACAGCAATGAGCACAGAAGGGAAAGCACTATGATGAGACCAGTAAGCATTACACTTGAATGCATCAACATGAGGCTTTGATTGATGCTTAATGAAGCACAAAAAACTGTCCTATTCAAGATAACAAAGGGCTTTATCCAAAAGTCATAGGTTCCTGGCTAGGACCCAAAATTTCTTCCTCTTGGACTGCTTAGATGGAGATATATTTTCAAACACACCACTACTTTTCCCTTCCTTAAAAAAAAACTGATTAAAGGCATTGCCACTTAATTACTTAAAAACAAAAATCAACCCTGGGCTTAATGCAGTGAACTTGTTAAAAAAAAAATAAAAATACAACAACTTAAAGCAGACCTATTGTCAAACACCCCCCTCCCCCCCACCACCATCCAAGCTCCCTCCATATACTCTGCCCACCCCCTCCCACTAAAAAGGGAGACTCAATGATTCAAGGAATCGTAAAAAAAGGGGGATTCTTTAGCAGTGTTAAGAATTTCAGAACCACTGTATATTTTTATATATCTGAAAACAAGTTCTGCTTTAAACAAAATCCTTCATTATACAAATATGAAATTTAATAAAAATAAAATGCAACTGAATTATGACATGACAACATTCTCATATAAAAGGCATAAAAGGTAAAAAACACCTACGTTTCATGCACCTTCAGTAATTTATTAGAAAAGGCAGTGCTTGGAGTTTCAGCAAGGTGCAACGTATTTAATAAACCCAGAAAAACTTCATGCTGGTACAACAGGGCTGCTTGTCCAAATCCATTTATATCTGGTTTAGAACAATTTAGTAAGAATAAGTCATACAAAATAAAAGGTAATTTATACACATTTAGAGGAGCTTTAGAAAGAAAGCTACATCTTGGTTTGACATAAGCTGAAAATGGAAAAAAAACTGTAAACTGTAAAAGTTATTGTTAATGAATTGCTACCATCTTTAGGACTGGAGAACATTTTAGCAGAACAATACATCAGTAAGCATGTCAGGCATGTTGGGGTAAGTGAAGTGTCATTGCAGCTAAGCATATTATTATATATATAAAACATTTTCACATTCTTCACACAGCAGTTTTACAAGACAGTATTTAATTTGCTACAGAAAAACACCATTCTGCTATGGCGCAAAATGACACATTTAAGACATTTCCGGATTATTATTATTAAGCTTTCATAGTGGTCCCATGTCTTCAAAAAAAGTAAAAACAAAAATATCTACTGAACCTGACAGATGAAAACTAAAAGGAAGCGAAGCTGGACCAACCAGTCATGTGCTAGCTTTCATTTTGTACCCTATATCAGAAATGTGGCAGCTCTGAGTCTGGTTGACTGCCATGGGCAATATCTCCACTCATATATATATATATATCAACCTTGTTATGACAGACTGGTCATGGAATGTTAGTGTCCTACACCTGCAAGAATCATTACCCTGTTCATGAAATGGCAAGAGTACTGATCACATAAACAGCAGCGAGCTGTAATATATGCAATCCTACATTACTACAGCACTCTTGCCAATTTGTAGTAACAGCAGTACTCCAGGATTAAGGGTCTAGCTGCTTGAAACTATTAATGCAAAGATGTGTCTGGAATGGTGTACAAACAGTGAGACAAGTAAAAATTGCAGAAACAGGAGACAGGTATATAGCATATATAGAAATAGAATATGCTGAAATGCAATGGCTGCAGGGCTTGATCGATGACATTACGGCCTTCAGTTCCGTGACAAATATAAAGCTTACATCTTTACAAACTGTAGCTATTCAGTTAAAACATACAGTATGTAGGAGGAGCTACAGAAATGTATGTATTGCAGACACAGCATGTATATTTTGAATATAACAGTAAGGGTTAGATAGGAGGTGAACAAATCACCCACTGGCTTCTTATATGATGACTTTAAAACAGAAATTCCCATGCCTGAACATGCTGAGCTATATCCACATATTGTGACAACCACAGTGACTCCCTTATTTTTTCTTACACTTTGAACAAAACAAATCAAAAAGGGAGATCACCATTCTGCAAACCTGGAAAATATAATAAGCCAGTGTGATTGCGTCCACCAGCATCCATCCATTAAGAAAACATCAGTTTTGGATGGACTTGGTGAGCTGAATGTGAGTTTTTATGCAAGTCAATCAATTTTCATACCCATGTGTTCCTAGGCAGGACTAAATATAGTAAGACCAAGTAGTGTTGATATAATTTATTATCACTATTTAGTAATAACATAAAAAAAGAATTAAATACCAAGTTAAATGTACTGCTGTTAAGGCTACAGCAACTAAAATGCAACTTAATGCTTGTTGGAGTTCAGAATCGCATTAGCAGGACTACAGCTAGTACCACCAAAACAAGCCTTAATATGGCATACATAATTTGTATTACAAGAATATAACACTGAATGCAGGACAATTTCAATGTAGTTTCAATGGGTTGCAAGGTGAATTAAAAGAGGAAAAAAAAAAAAAAAAAGTTCTGTAGTGCTAAGGCAAGCACCATCTTTTGCATGGATGGTGCTGAATTACTTACACAACAAATATATATATTAAAAAAAAAACAAAAAACTTTTGTTCGATATTTGGTGAGAAGAAGCTGCTCTGCGTTCACATAGGCGACACTGTTGCTTTTGTTTCACAAAGTGAAATGAAGGACCTTCTAAAACTTCAAAGTCCATATATACTTGCCTCTCCTTCATACGGAATGATTTCAAGTTTGCTTATGGTTTGCAAAGTAAACAAATAAGTATTCTGACCAGGTGACAGATCATAAAAGTCCCCAATAAGAATCTCTGGAGCAAAACTGAATATGGGAGGAGGCAAGATATCCAACTCTTATTGTGCCTGCTAAGTCAGTGTCGTTGCCAGGATGATTACAAGAATTAACACCAGGACGACCACACAGATGATTATGAAGATCATTTTCTGTAATATCAGAAAAAAAAGGGTTAGAATCAATGCATATACTAAATGCAAACTGTCTGTACTGCCCCAAAACAACCAACCATATTCAAACCTGTACTTGAACATTAGGGTTGCAAAGAATGTTGACAAGCTACATGCTTGTGAATCAGCAGTGACAACCCCAATATCCACACCTATTTTGTAATCTCATTTAATGTAGCGGCAAGCTGAGCTGCATCATTGCCACGCCAATACAGGAAGCCACATTAGGTGGGTTTCACTGGTAAGTTCAACAGGTATCTGTTGGACTTTGCTGGGGACAAAGAGGACACTGAATGCAAATGAACTTATAATTAAGTGCTGCTGCCCACATTTTTGTAATGGGAGGCCATAGTTATACTTTAACAATTTCACTGATCTTAAAGTGGAACTTTACCCATAACAACTTCATAAAAAATAATGTTCTTTAGCAAGGAACATGCATTCCACATTAATAATTATGCTACCAAAATTAGTGTGCTGTAAATTGCCTCCACGATTGCTCGTTTGTTCTTGCTGCCATTTTGCTGAAGCCCAGAGCCCCTGAGCAGTAGTAAATCTTTTAGGCTGTCAGCAGATCGGCCTCTACATTTTCAGCACAGTGCCAAAAAACAAAGAAAAGCTGAGCATCTGCAGAGCAGGGTGAGACCGTGTATTACTGGATTTTAAACGATATAGGCACTTATTTGTAATGTTTTACATAGTCATACCTGCAAAAGGGGCCAGCCTGGAATGATCTAGTGGGACTTTTTCTGACTAAAGTTCCACCTTAAGTGCAAGAGTGTTGTACAAACATAAAACATTTAATAAAGTGAAGGTCCTTTCTGTCTGCACACCGATTTGAAGGAAGAAAAACATCCATAGTAAAAGACAGGTCTTTCGTAGCCACCCTACAGTGAGCAAGATTTTATACAAACTAAGGTGCTAGCCCTTTACCTGTGAACACACACTGCACCAATGTCAGAACCCTCCACCAGTGTTGACCATATGTGTACATGCATTTGTTTCAAGTGCTCAGTGTCATGGAGTGAGCTATTCTCATGAAGCTTTAGGCTCTTACATTGGATACATTTTTGGAAAATCTCTAGTTATCAAAAAAGTAATGGACAAATAATAAAATTGGTTTAAGAGGAAGAGTCAAACTGGACCAAAAAAAAAATTTTCCCTGGTGTTATGGATTGTTACACCTTGCAATGCCTTGTTAAATAATCATTCAAATGTAACGAAGAAATAAAATCTACAAATACTACACATGATGAACAATACACACTATTTTATTTACTATAAATAGCTTGTAAAATAGAAACGTTGCTGCAGTTTGTCAGCTGAACACCAGGAGGCACAGTCAACATTGGTATACCAGAATGGACAATGCCTTTTAACAAAAAGTAATCTGGAATTTCTGTTATGTCTAATAGTAGGTATTTGACTCTCCTGAACCGGTCGATTATTTTATGCACTTTAGAAAATATGCTACTCCCTAATTAATGATGGTATAATGTAAAATGACTACCATGACCTCTTTTCTGAACATATACAATGGATAGAACAGCACTTGAAAGTGGAACCAAACCAAATACACTGCCTCATCGGATAAATTCTCCTTTTCCCCTCTTCACTATGCTACATTAATTTTACTTAACTGGGCACAGTTTATTACGGGAACATAGCAGAACAAACCCTACACAGCAATGCTTAAATAACTGGAACAACAAAAAGAAAAGTTGTTATATCTTAAAGGTTTACCAACTAATTGTATAAAAGTATCCATTACATAAGTTAATCAGATATTGGACATTCTTAGCCTACTGTGTTAAGTTAAGCTAAAAGTGGGATAAAATCAGCAGCCCCCCAAGTCAAAGTGAACCAGAAGGAAAATATTTAGATTTACAGAGTCTTCAGGCATCTGTTGTATAACTGAAAAATATGAGATACCATTAGCCAACACCACTGTAAACCACCCGTGTACATGTAGATCATAGTGTAGTCTGCTGTTGTGCTACCCACTCCTTATACAATCAGCCTTGTTTACTACTAAACACATTAAACTGACTGATCTTCTAATAAGTTTACTGAAATGCAAATACAACTACTTAGCTATAGCAGTCTTGCCATGTTTTCATAAAATATTGTTCTTGGTCCTAAGCTGATGGTATAATGAGGGAGCACAGAAGCAAAATAAAAGTTACTTACTGCCACACAGGCAGATGTGCATATGCACAATGGGAAAAAAAAGCAAAACACAAAACTTCACTTGAGGCCAACTGACAAACCAATAATCAAGGCAAGTATGCCAGTCGCCACCACCAATAAAATGGCAATGATCCATTGTTTCTGTTGAAGTTTAAAAGAAAATTCGGTCAGAATGCTTCTTGATCACTACAACTTATCAACATGATTCTCAATATGCAAGAAGTAAACTTAATTCGTTAATAAAGTAGAACTAAAGACAAAATTGTTTTTTTTTTCATATTGGATAGAGTAAGAGAGGCCATAGATTATGCGATTTTCTTTCCTGCAACCTGTGGGTGAAGAAAAATTGATTGATTCCCCCATCAACACAGTCAGTCAGTGTTGATGGGGGAATCCCTCCCACAGAGCTATTGTGTTCTCCCAGCAGGGGAGGCACAGACAGCCATCCCTGCTGGGAGAACAAAATGATTATTGCGATCGGCTATAGCTGCGGACAGTAATCACACACAAAATATCTGACATGCTGGTCGTATCCAAGTTGATTGGATTGATTTGGGTACAATCAGCCTGCCTATAGATGGATCGAATCTCGGCCAGTCCCTGCTGAACTGACAGAGATTCAATCCATCTATGGTCAGCTTAAGGGTCAGGTTTTTTTTTTTTTTTTTTTACCATCTGTGTCCCATTGGAGAGATTTCCCATCACTTGCTGTCCCCATAGCCAAAACCAGTGATAGCAGTAAACAGCACAAATAGAGAGGGTGAATCTTCCTACCTTGAATAAGTATTCATACCCCTTGCAATGTTCCACATTTTGTTATGTTACAACCAAAAACGTAAATGTATTTTATTGGGATTTTATATGATAGGCCAACACAAAGTGGCACATAATTGTGAAGTGGAAGGAAAATGATAAATGGTTTTCACCATTTTTTACAAATAAATATCTGAACAGTGGGGTGTGCATTTGTATTAAGCCCCCTTGAGTCAATACTTTGTAGAACCACCTGTCGCTGCAATTACAGCTGCAAGTCTTTTTGGGGATGTCTCTACCAGCTTTGCACATCTAGAGAAAGTTTTGCAAAATAGCTCAAGCTCTGTCAGAATGGATGGAGAACGTCTGTGAACAGCAATATTCAAGTCTTGCCACAGATTTTCAATTGGATTTAGGTCTGGACTTTGACTGGGGCATTCTAACATATGATATGATTTGATCTATAACCAGATTTGAAGTGGGGTAGGCAACCTGCCGCTCTCCAGCTGTTGTGGAACTACATTTCCCATGAGGCATTGCAACATTACAAAACTGACAGTTACAGCTATGACTTGCAGAGGCATGATGGTTTTGTAGTCCTGCAACAGCTGGAGAGCCGCAAGTTGCCTACCCCTGATCTAAACCATTCCATTGGTGTATGTTTTGGTCATTCTCCTGCTGGAAGGTGACCCTCCACCCCAGTCTCTAACAGGTTTTCTTCTAAGATTGTCCTGTATTTGGCTCCATCCATCTTCCCATCAACTCTGACCAGCTTCCCTGTCCCTTCTGAAGAAAAGCATCGCCACAACATGATGCTGCCCCCACCATATTTCATGGTGGGGATGGTGTGTTTCAGGGTGATGTGAGTGTTCGTTTTCCACCCCACATAGCGTTTTGCTTTTAGGCCAAAAAGTTCAATTTTGGTCTCATCTGACCAGAGCACCTTCTTCTACATGTTTGCTGTGTCCCCCACATGGCTTCTCGCAAACTGCAAATGGGACTTCTTATGGCTTTCTTTCAACCATGGCTTTCTTCTTGCCACTCTTCCATAAAGGCCAGATTTGTGGAGTGCACAACTAATAGTTGTCCTGTTGACAGATACTCCCACCTGAGCTGTGGGTCTCTGCAGCTCCTCCAGAGTTACCATGGGCCTCTTGGCTGCTTCTCTGATTAATGCTCTCCTTGCCCAGCCTGTCAGTTTAGGTGGATGGCCATGTCTTGATAGGTTTGCAGTTGTGCCTTACTCTTCCCATTTTCGGATGATGGATTGAACAGTGCTCTGTGAGATGTTCAAAGCTTGGGTTATTTTTTTTTATAAGATAACACCGCTTCAAACTACTCAACGACTTTATCCCTGACCTGTCTAGTGTGTTCCTTGGCCCTCATGATGCTGCTTGTTCACTAATGTTCTCTAACAAACCTCTGAGGCTTGCACAGAACAGCCATCTGTATTTATACTGAGATTAAATTACACACAGGTGGACTCTATTTACTAATTAGGCGACTTCTGAAGGCAATTGGTTCCGCTAGATTTTTGTTAAGAGTATCCAAGTAAAGGGGGTGGGAATACAATACAATACAAAAAACATTTATCATTTTCCTTCCACTTGACAATTATGTGCCATTTTGTGTTGGTCTATCACATAAAATCCCAATAAAATACATTTATGTTTTTGGTTGTAAGATGCCAATATGTGGAAAATTGCATGGGGTATGATTACTTTTTTAAAGGCACTGTAAATAGAAATAACTCAAAACACAACACAAAGCTTTAGCAAAATGTGGAACAAAAATATATTGATCTTTACTAGTTCCTAGTTATTGCTGCTTTCGTTTTACTTTTGGTCACACACAGGAACCTAAGAAAATTAGTCAACCATACCCACTAGTAGAATCATGGGGATGCCAATAAAATTACTCTGTTCAACAGAAAATGCTCATCTAAAACTTGTCAGGAATTTTACAATAATAAAAAGTAGTACTTCTTAAATGTGACATTCCGCTAACCTAACCTGACCTGACCTATTTACTATTGCAATGCAAGGCAGCACATACATTAGTAATTTTTTTCATTCAATTAGCAAGTTAAAAGAAAAAAAAAAAGACAAAAAACAAAAAACAGCCCAATTACTCCATCCACACATTCGAGATGGATGGGGGAGTCACTCCTGCTGACTTGCTGAGTTATGACAACAAGAAGTAGAGTTGGTGGCATTGATCGTGCAGACATTTTCCAACAGGCTGGATATACAGAAGTCAATTGGTAGATCAACTTCTGTACAACCCAAACATGGATCAAAATTTCGCTGGACCGGCTGAATTTTGATCCATGTATGGCTGGCTTAATAAGAAAGATCAGCTGCCCATGGCAGGATCATTAAACTCAAGTAAACCATCACCAATTAATTTAGTTACGGCTTTATGTCTCCCCGCAAACCCAAATCATGCTAAGCTACTCTGATAGATACAGGATTAAATATATAGTAGAACCTTGGAAAAGGTAACACTGAGCTGTAGCACATCTGCCAGACTGCAACTAACCAAATATGGGAAAATATTGGAAGACCGAAAATAGGAACACAGAACTTGGCACAAGGAAGGGAGGGGAACTTGTAAATTGTTATCAATGGGTCTTCAGCAGCCATCACAAAGCTACTTAGGTTTCTTTTATTAGATGAACCAATGTACAGAAGTGAGTACACCCCTCACATTTTTGTAAATATTTTATTATATATTTTTCATGTGACAACACTGAAGAAATGACACTTTGCTACAATGTAAAGTAGTATACAGCTTGTATAACAGTGTAAATTTGCTGTCCCCTCAAAATAACTAACACACAGCCATTAATGTCTAAACCGCTGGCAACAAAGCAAGTACAACCCTAAGTAAAAAAAAGTCCAAGTTGGGCCCAAAGTGTCAATATTTTGTGTGGCCACCATTATTTTCCAGCATTGCCTTAACCCTCTTGGGCATGGAGTTCACCAGAGCTTCACAGGTTGCCACTGGAGTCCTCTTCCACTCCTCCATGACGACATCACGGAGCTGGTGGATGTTAGAGACCTTGCACTCCACCACCTTTCATTTGAGGATGCCCCACAGATGCTCAATAGGGTGTAGGTCTGGAGACATGTTTGGCCAGTCCATCACCTTTACCCTCAGTTTCTTTAGCAAGGCAGTGGTTGTCTTGGAGGTGTGTTTGGGGTTATGTTGGAATACTGTCTTGTAGCCAAGTCTCCAAAGGGAGGTGATCATGCTCTGCTTCAGTATGTCACAGTACATGTTGGCATTCATGGTTCCCTCAATGAACTGTAGCTCCCCAGTGCCGGCAGCACTCATGCAGCCCCAGACGATGACACTCCCACCACCATGCTTGACTGTAGGCAAGACACACTTGTCTTTGTACTCCTCACCTGGTTGCTGCCACACACACGCTTGACACCATCTGAACCAAATAAGTTTATCTTGGTCTTATTAGACCACAGGACATGGTTCCAGTAATCCATGTCCTTAGTCTGCTTGTCTACAGCAAACTGTTTGCAGGCTTTCTTGTGCATCATCTTTAGAAGAGGCTTCCTTCTGGGATGACAGCCATGCAGACCAATTTGATGCAGTGTATGGTCTGAAGGGGGCTGGGGGGGGTCAGCCTGCCAGTGCTCAACCTCTGCAGCAATGCTGGCAGCACTCATACGTCTATTTCCTAAAAACAACCTCTGGATATGACACTGAGCACATGCACTCAACTTCTTTGGTCGACCATGCCGAGGCCTGTTCTCAGTGGAACCTGTCCTGTTAAACCGCTGTATGGTCTTGGCCACCGTGCTGCAGCTCAGTTTTAGGGTCTTGGCAATCTTCTTATTGTCTAGGCCATCTTTATGTAGAGCAACAATTCTTTTTTTCAGATCCTCAGAGTTCTTTGCTATGAGGTGCCATGTTGAACTACTAGTATGAGAGAGTGAGCGATAACACCAAATTTAACACACTGCTCCCCATTCACACCTGAGACCTTGTAACACTAACGAGTCATATAACACCGGGGAGGGAAAATGGCTAATTGGGCCCAATTTGGACATTTTCACTTAGGGGTGTGCTCACTTTTGTTGCCAGCGGTTTAGACATTAATGGCTGTGTGTTGAATTATTTTGAGGAGACAGCAAATATACACTGTTATACAAGCTGTACACTCACTACTTTACATTGTAGCTAAGTGTAACTTCTTCAGTGTTGTTACATGAAAAGATATAATAAAATATTTACAAAAATGTAAGGGGTGTACTCACTTCTGTAAGATACAGTATGTAGGCTTTGTTACAATTTACTTACCCTGCGTGACTTGCTCTGATATTTTACGGCCTTCTTTGTTTCTTCTTTGGCATGTTCAATATAATCAGCAGCATTTTCAACATTCTTCTCTATGTTGTTTATCATTTCACCCTGTATAGTGTAAAGAGTTGATTTTACATGGCGAGTTTTTTAAAACATATTTTAAATGAAACAATTCAACAGTAAAGAAGGGATGACCTTTATCATGAAAAATGAATGGAAAAAATAGGACATCAATAGTGGATTTAAAAAAAAAAAAAGAAAAAAAAAAAAAAAGGAACTTGGAAAAAATTGTTAATATAGTGTTAAAATAAAATATATATATTCTCTCTCTCTACATGACTGATTGAGCTCTGCAGTCACTTTTGCAGCAGTGTTTTTTTTTATTCTAGTTTATAATCCTGCCCAGTGTCCTTTTGTCTCTTTCGGTCAGTTGACCACGTCGACCGAGCTTACAGTGAGGAACAGAAGTATTTGAACACCCTGTGATTTTGCAAGTTCTCCCACTTAGAAATCATGGAGGGGTCTGAAATTCACATTGTAGGTGCATTCCCACTCTGAGAGACAGAATTAAAAAAAAAAATTCAGGAAATCACATTGTATGATTTCTAAAGAATTTATTTGTCTTGCACTGCTGAACATAAGTATTTGAACACCTGAGAAAATCAGTGTTAATATCTGGTACAGAAGCCTTTGTTTGCAATTACAGAGGTCAAATGTTTCCTGTAGTTCTTGACCAGGTTTGCACACACTGCAACAGGGATTTTGGCCCACTCCTCCACACAGATCTCTTCTAGATCTGTCAGGTTTCGGGGCTGTCGCTGAGCAACACGGAGTTTCAGCTCCCTCCAAAGATGTTCTATTGGATTTAGGTCTGGAGACTGGCTAGGCCACTCCAGAACCTTGATGTGCTTCTTACGGAGCCACTCCTTGGTTATCCTGGCTGTGTGCTTCGGGTCGTTGTCATGTTGGAAGACCCAGCCACGACCCATCTTCAATGCTCTGATTGAGGGAAGGAGGTTGTTGCTCAAAATCTCACAATAAATGGCCCCATTCATCCTCTCCTTAATACAGTGCAGTCGTCATGTCCCCTTCGCAGAAAAGCACCCCCAAAGCATGATGTTACCACCCCCCATGCTTCACAGTAGGGATGGTGTTCTTGGGACGCAACTCATCCTTCTCTTTCCTCCAAACACGACGAGTGAAGTTTAGACCAAAAAGTTCTACTTTGGTCTCATCTGACCACACGACTTTCTCCCATGCCTCCTCTGGATCATCCAGATGGTCATTGGCAAACTTCAGACGGGCCTGGACATGTGATGACTTGAGCAGGGGAACCTTCCGTGCAATGCATGATTTGAAACCATGATGGCGTAGTGTTCTACCAACAGTGACCTTTAAAACTGTGGTTTCATCTCTCTTCAAGTCATTGACCAGCTATTCCCTTGTAGTTCTGGGCTGATTCCTCACCTTTCTTATCAGTGATACCCCACGAGGTGAGATCTTGCATGGAGCCCCAATCCAAGGGAGACTGACAGTCGTCTTTAGCCTCTTCCATTTTCTAACAATTGCTCCAACAGTTGATCTATTTTCTCCAAGCTGCTTGACAATTGCCCCGTAGCCCTTTCCAGCCTTGTGGAGGTCCACAATTTAGTCGCTGGTGTCTTTTGACAGCTCTTTGGTCTTGCCCATGGTAGTAGTTGGCGTCTGACTGACTGTGGGGTGGACAGAGTGTCTTTAAAGAGCTCAGACAGGTGCTACTAAGTTAGATTGAGTGGAGTAGAGGTGGACTTTTTAAAGGCACAGTAACAGGTCTTTGAGAGCCAGAATTCTTGCTGTTTCTTAGGTGTTCAAATACTTATGTTCAGCAGTGCAAGACAAATAAATTCTTTAAAAATCATGCAATGTGATTTCCTGAATTTTTATTTTTTAATTCTGTCTCTCAGAGTGAGAATGTACATACAATGTGAATTTCAGACCCCTCCATGATTTCTAAGTGGGAGAACTTGCAAAATCGCAGGGTGTTCAAATATTTCTGTTCCTCACTGTATGCTTATCAGATAACATTTTCCCAGAAACTGTACATGCAGTCATAACCTTTGATGCTGTACCTCGCGACACGGGAAATAAAATTGGCAACTTCAGTCAAAGAGGCACCAACAATCTGCCCTCTTTAAAGCTCAGTAAGCTCTGTACTACTAGCAGTGCAGCTGATGAAAGTCAGGCTTCCCACCTGTTAGATAGGTGTCTCAAATCACATCGCAAGCAAAAGAGTGTTACTTCCGCTTTCAACGCAAAACGTGACGTCACTCACTTTCACAATGCAAATCATGTGGCATTTCCATTTTTTTTGTCTGTGTGTGTGTGTATTTATATTTCCCCCCTAAAAATCACTGTACTTGGGCAGGCTGACCTATGAAATATTTATATTTTCCCTGTTATTTAGCTTTACATACTTTGCTAGTTCTCAGGGTCACCGCTCATCTGACATTTTCTACCTTGTCAACTGCTTGACCCCTGTATAGTGTCCCAATTTATTTTTTTTTTCTACTTGTGGTCATCTTGTGTACTAGTAGCTAGCAGGTAAACAGGAGATCTGTCCCACTGTATTTTTTTTTCTTAAGATCTCTGTGTACTGAAATAAAACCAAGGGGATATTTCTTGGAACAGTTCTTGGACTGAAGGAGGAGAGTACATCGGAGGATGTGTAATCAGTGAGCAGAAGGAGAGGACACCAGGGTGCTGTGTGAACAGTGTGGGTGAGCAGAAGAAAAGGGATGCTGGAGGCTATGGGATCAGTGAGCAAAAAAAAGAGGAGCCTCCAGGGGGCCGTGTGAACAGTGAGCAGGAAAATGGGACCCCAGAAACCGTGATCAGCGGACAGGATCAGAAAAAAAAAAAAAAAAAGGACACCGGGCTGGGGTTGGGAGTTAACGTAATAAGTTAGGGAAACTGTGCTCATAACAGAATAAAGTTAGGAAGGAAGATTAACAAACTATATAAAATATAATAAATTTTTCCTGAATTATCCCCATTAAGTTAATGGGTAAAGTCCAATAGGAGCAGCAATGAGACCTGAGTATGTGTATGTTGCTTGAACAACCATGGCTAAATACTGCTGTGCAAAAGTATGAAACTAAGGCAGCAACTGGCAACACTGTGAAGCATCATCTAACTGAAAGGGTGTTAGGACTGTGCCAGTCAGGTGCTGGAAGGGGCCAGTACAGAGGTGGCTGGAGATATGGAGGTGGAGGCACCAGAACAGAGTAGATGGGTGACAGACAGGATAGAGGGAAAAGCATTAGGGAGGCCAGTCCTGAGCTGAAACATCCCAATAAACATGCCCGGCTGTGTGATGTTGGTGGTATCAGTCAAGGAGTGGCATTACTGGAGCAGAGTGACTAGCCTAACTGCCAGGGGAAAAATGCCTCTACTGAGGATGGGGGCACGTTTACAAGAAAGGATAGAAAGATACTGGTGGTAGGGGAGTCGGATGGGGCTGGGTGAGGACCCAGCTGTCATGGCACACATTAGTACCAAAGAAATTTAGGAAGATGGAGTGTCCTAAAAAAATATTTCAGGGTCTTAGATGCTATATTAAGGAAAAGGACCTCCAAGACAGTATTCTTAGAAATACTGCCTGTACCTCGGGCCACACTAGAAACAGACTTTTTACAGAAACAAATGAAGAGTAGTAACTCTGAAAACTGCCATTTCTGAAAAAAAAAAAAAAAAAAAAAAAAAAGACATGAGAAAATAAGCAAAATAGCTGCTATTCTTCAAGTTCCAAAGAATTCTTAACATCCATCACCTCCATTTTTTCTTTATAGAGGAAATGTGCAAACACTTATATTTACAGTGTCCTTAAAATTGGACCTAAATTGAAGTGAAGATTTTTAATATTACAGGAAACATCTAGAAATGTTAATTTTGCCAAATCAGTACCTTTTGCCATGACTTTCTCCTTAAAAAAAAAAAAACTCTTTTCACACTCTCACATGTGAGAAAACAGGGCAAACAAAGATTTCTTTTAATGATAATAAAAATTATTATATTTTTTTATGCAATCCATAGACAAAGATAACAGTATTAGTTAAAACATGTGTTGCTTTAGTTTCTTTTTAAAAATATAAAATGTATTCTATAATCTTTCCAATTTAAAATATGACACTTTTTTAAAATGTGTTAAAAGGAGAAAGGGAAGGAGGATTTAATAAAAGGAAGAATAATTGTAATATATGGTTAATTCCACACACTTCCTTGTGTATATTTAAAATTTATAAATAAAGATAGTTATATTTTATTTACTGGAGTCTCAATAAATGTAAAGCACCATAAAACCCCCAGCAAGCCTGTTTGAGCATTTATATTGGGATAATTAGGGTAGATTATAGTAAACACAGCAACTTTAGTTATTTTGACAGCCAGGAAGTGCCGGCAAGTACAAGGGGAAGCGACAGTAGGGTAGGGCATACAGCACAGGCCCGGTGTCCACAACTGGTTAAGCTATTAACGACATGGAAGCCCTAACAGCATTGGGCAGGTGTGTCAGAGTGCTATGACTTGCTTTTACTAGAGGGAGTCTTCTCCAGCACATGGTATTGAATGATACTTCATAAAAGTCACTGCGTCTTTCATGAAAAAGATAGTAGAACTAACTCTCAGGTGTTATTTTTTTTTTTATAATTGTGGCAGTTGGTGCTGCAGGACCTACATTTCTTCCTCCCCCTTTTCACTAAATCTCAAAGTAGCAGGGAAATTCCACCATGCCATGACATATGGGGCAGCTGTAGGAATTCCATCCTTACCAATCAACGTAAAGTAAAAACAAAAAATACAAAATGCAGTTTACTTGTGCTTCATTGTGAAGTTCTAAAAATGCTTTTTGATACAATGGCAACACTCAATTTATGCAACAAACAAAAATTACAAGCAATGTAATGACAAAAACAAATGACTGTACCATGTGCATTATTTGTATGTGCTGAAATGAAAATGTAACTTTTCTACAACAAAACAATTACTTTACCTGTATCCCCATCCTCCAGGAGATAAAACCAGCAGCAAATGGCAAAGTGTTACACAGTTATTAATATCTGGAGAAAATGTTA